TATTGTTATTATTGTTATTATTGTTATTATTGTTATTATTATTATTATTGTTATTATTATTGTTATTATTATTATTATAAAGTAAAAACTTTTAGAAAAAAAAATTAGGAAAAAAAATTCCCGCCCAAAAGAGTATTCTCAAACCTCAAAAATGCATTTAATTACGTTACAAAATAACACAACTAATTTGGTTACAAAATCAAGCATTTAATTTGATGGGTGTAACCCCCAATCTAATTAAAAAAATAAATAAATAAACCAGGGCTGTATATAGGTATAACAATAAAAAAAAATTCTAACTAATAAAAAAATACGAAGCAGAGTAACCTGCGATGAGAAGGAGATGGCCCATCCATTGACATCTATCCATCAATTGAATGTTAAAAAAAAAAAAAAAAGAAGATGAATGTTAGTAAAGAATGTGTAGGACAAACACCGATAAACTAAACGATTCACAAAATCAAGCTCCCATCGCCTCAAAATCTTTAGTTTTAGAGATTTTATAACTCTAATTGGTTCATTTTTTGTACTTTTATTATGTTTATTGAGTACATGTTTTCATTATTTGTAGACAATAAATCTTTAACAAGGGTTGAGAACATTCGAAAAGAAAAAATCTTCAGTGCGATGGAACATATCGAAAGGTGTACGGAAATCTTTCAAAGATCACTTAGTATGGTATTGAGTGTACTAGAAGATAGTTAGAACTTAGAACATAATAAATTATATAATAATTTGTATAGATCGTATTGTACATCAACTACTAACGTTGTTTACCATGAAGTGTTTAATAATATGTACTATTCTATTTGTACATAATATTCAATAACAAGTTTTTTTTTTTTTTTAAATATAATTGTAATTCATGTATTTATTTATTGTACTTCAATTACCTGTATCATAAACTACTTCAAATAATTTTAATAATTATTTATTCATTATAACATTACAAACAAATTTTTAATATTTAGTCGTGCCTCACACGAGACAATATTAGTACATACTAATTTCTTATCCTTATACAAAAAAAAAAAAAAAAAACAAAAAACAAAAATCCATCACTTTAAGAGTTCCTCACATTCTAACATAACATGATTGTAGATAAGTAAATTACGGTAATTCATAATTCATATGCATTTTATAAGTGAAAAGACTACATTTACTTGCCTCATCCACCCAGGCTAATTTGATACTAACTCTCATTTCTTCATTTTATGTTCCATGTAAGTATGCAACGATTATTTCCATACATAATTAAAGATAACATTAACTCACTAATCGCTTCTATAACTAAAGGAGTAATGTATTCTTCTTTTAACTTATTATCTTAGGAGCTAATACTTTTTTTTTTTTTTTTCATAACTATTTATCTACAAAGGATAATGTATTCTTCCTTTATACCTTTCTTAAGAGTTAATATTTTGTTTTCCAAACAAAAAAAAAAAGTCAATATTTTAATTTATAAAAAAATCCAATTACTATTAGTCTATTACTCCGTAGCTAAAAATGTGAAATCGGTCTAGTTCATAAGACATGTCTCGCTGAATTCAATTTCATGTCTTCACTCCATCAAACTACCAAAAACTGAAAATTTTCAGACACCATGTGACCATGTCCCAAAGAAAAGAAACCCATATCATCACTCTCTTTTGAATCCTTCATCTTCATCCTTCTTCTCTCTGAATCACCCACCCCTCCTTCCTCTTTGCAATTGATTCTCCTTTTTACTCCGCGAATATGGCAAAGGGGGAGAGTCTGAATCACAATTCATCCAAAATCCACCCCGCCAGTGATCCCAGCACCGATTCCTCCTATTCACTTGAGAAATTTCGCCTATATGAAACTCAAGCGGTACGTTTTCTGCTTTCTTTTCTATTTTTCTTGGTTCTTGAATCCGTATTTCGGTGGTTGCTTCTTTTTCTGATCATCAATGAAAATTCGCTTCGGAGTTTGGATTCTTCTCCAAAGTTTCAAACTTTATGTTTTGACTGCTTTCCAGATTTGTTGAGAACAGGAAATGTTTAATTATCAGTGTTGCTGAAGGATACCCATTTCTTATTTTTTGAAATTTCTGTGCGTAGAGGTTTTATCTGATTGGAAGCGATAGGAATAAGCAATTTTTCAGAGTGCTGAAGATCGATAGGATGGAGCCTTCAGAACTGAATATTAGTGAAGATCCAGTGGTGTACCCTGTTCAGGAAGTGAAGAGCTTGCTGCAAAGGATTGATGAGGGCAATCGAGCCACTGGAGGATTGACTTTGGGGGTCAAAGTTTATGGCATTGTTGGTAATTGCTCTGATGATCAGGATAATTGGAAAAAGTTTTTTATTTTTTAATTTTTTTTTAAATGAAAATATTGTCCTAACTTTGTACCTATGTTGAATTGATTAGGTTGTATTAAATTCTTGGAGTCATATTATCTTGTATTGGTGACAAAGCGGCGTCAGATTGGTAGTTTATGTGGTCATGCCATTTATACTATAGATGAGAGCCAAATCATCACAATTCCACATGTTTCTGTTCAGACTGATCTTGCTCATTCAAAAACTGAGCTGCGGTAACATTTTTGTTTTGAATATTCTGTATATGTGATGCCATTTATACTATAGAATTAATTTTTTTTTTTTTTTTTTGGTTCTAACCAAGAAGCTTGCTTTTAATTCTCTCGTAATCATCATATAGAAAATTATTCTTGCTTTAGACTTATCCAATAAAAAAATAAAATAAAATGAAAAAGAAAGAGGAAGCTCTTCTTATTTTGTATGATTTTGGTCTCACTGAACTTGAAACCTCTATTTCACTTCATGATGGTAACTTTCGCCTTTTTACCTTTTGATATGCTTTGTTAATCAGTGTATTTTTTACTTGACTTATCCAGCTGTCTACTCCTACATGCAGGTACAAAAAGCTTTTATCCAGTGTTGACTTGACTAAAGATTTTTTCTATAGTCATACATATCCTATAATGCGTAGCTTGCAAAAGAATGTCTTGTCAATGAGTGAGGAAGGGATGCCGTATGACAACATTTTTGTTTGGAATGCGTATCTAACAGAAACAATTAGATCAAGATGTAAGAACACTATGTGGACAATTGCTTTGGTTCATGGACACTTTAGGCAGGTAGTTACTTTTCTCTAGTTTTCAAATGCTCTACTGTTTTTAGTTTGCCAAAAAAGAAGAAGAAGAGAGGAAATAGGTCTTATAGAATAATTTCAAATCCTAAATCCTACTACACATTTCTTCCTGAAGCTGCTCCTCCCCTTTACATCTTATAGACTTGCCACAGTTTCAATATGTGATCTGATTCTTGTATCTTTTTTCTTGGGAATAAGGGATTTGGTACATTAATTTAACATTAAATCATGCTTGTGAGTTTTTTTTTTTTTTTTTTGGGCATTAAGTGAAGAAAAAATAAGTTAAACTTAAAAACAACGCTAGACACAAGAACACACACATATATGATATATTAATATTGTAATTTTGAGGTCATGCAGGTGCTCATATATATATGTTGAACCTTTTTTTTTTTTTTGTTGGGAGTACCCTGGGGAGTAGGGTTGACACTTTTCAATTTGATTTTAGAATATTGTTAATTGTTCATTGAAATAGCTAATTTCTTCATCTGTAGAATTAAAGTTGTCGCTTTGTTCTTTAAAATGGAAACATGGTGTCCCTGCTTTCTCATTCAATTTTCCATTCCAACACTCTTTAGCCATTTAATGAGGATTCAAAATTAAACATTCTAACTGTTCTGGTTTTGCTTGGTTCCAGGTCAGACTATCAATATTTGGAAGAGAGTTTAGTGTTTCCTTGATCTCAAGACGTTCACGACATTTTGCTGGGACACGGTATGAACTAGCTTTTGTGTTATTTTTCTGAAGTACTATACCCCTCTACATACTCTCTGAATCTTGTTATGTCAACAATTTTAAAATATAAATATTGGAAAAGAGGGAAGCTAAATTTTCTCTTGGATTATGGAGTTGAATTAAACTATATTAGATTTAGAAAGAAGATAATGGTGGAAGAGGATGACAAATTGTCCTAAAAGACAAAAGTAAAGAGAGTTATAATCCTTGGTCTCTTACTGTTTACTTTATCTTGTTATGTGGTGAACATATGAGGTTAATAAGCACTCATTAGAGTAGTCTTACTCTGCCAATAAATTAAAGCTGGAGAGAAAATACATCCAACTTAAAGAGTTAAAGATTTAACAAATAAAATTTCTAAAGATATAAGATATACAAGTAGTTTATGCAATGATTCTGAATGTGGCATGCATTAATCTATACAAAAGAGGGAAACAGAAGGAGAAGCCTGAGTTGATGATCTTTGAAATGTGATATGCTCACATAGTTGTTGATATAACAAAGATAATCAGGTTTTCAACTTAAGTGATCTTTTATTTGAAAAGAAAAAGGTGTTCTAGGTGCTTTTGTTTCATGAGAGAACTGGGATGAGTTGGATCAATGCTGCAGCTGCTAACTTTTACTGTACAGTTCCATATAACATTCTAATTAGAACTAAGTCGGTTTGTATTGTTCCAGTAATACATGTCATAGTTGCAAACTTGGTCGAATTTAGATTTACTTCTAGCTATTTGAACTTGTACTGGGTTCGGTGACCTCCTCGGAAATCCTTGTGTTGCATCCCCTACCAGTAGACTGCTAGTAGCCAACTAGGATGGATTAAGGCTTAGCAGTAGAAGAAAAACAGTGAATCCCAGACTTCTTAAGCTTCAACTTACTGTTTTTATTTGTATGGCAGTTTGTCTCCCTGTTTCACTATTTTGAGTACTTGTAATCAATTGTCAGTCTTTAGCTCTACAGTGTGCATGTATGTGAAATGTGTGTATCAATAGTTGTGCTAAATAGGTGATATATTACGTTGTACATTTTTAGCTATGTTCTTTTTTACAGTTGGTCTCGAGTCTTGACAATCATTTTTGCATTTCTGCTATTTCATCTACATATATTATGTATGTTTGTGAGATACTATGCCTGTTCTCAAATTCTTGGCAATGTTTTCATTTTTAAATCATGTGCCTGGACATATATTCAGATGGTTTTTTGGTCTGTCATTATTTGTATAAAAAATCTTGATTTGAAGTTACACATTTTCATTTGGCTGCATGTGTCTCTTTAATATTTGCTAAGTTTGGGGAAGGTCCTAGGGAGGAAGAACAACTACCCAGGTCAGTTGTCTCTTTCTGTCCTCTTTGGGAATGCAGTGCATGCAAATCTTCTCCTTGCTCTTAACATCAGTGGATCAACCCCCCTTTCTCTCCATCTTGTATTGTCAGCAAAAATCCAATGTTTGAGTGTGTAATAATGGTGGTAATGTGGTATCTTTTTTGCTGATTATTCCTTTCTGATTCAAAATATCTAGTTTGCAATTACCTTTCATTCATTCGAATGGTTATTTTGGTGATTGCTCTTGTTGGTTTTACTTGTTTAGCTTTTGTGTAGTTGTAACTTGGTTGGTGGAACTCTTTGCAGGGTATTTTACTGTTAAGTTTTGATTATTGGTCTGTAGTTTTAAGTCATATTGACATAGTGTACTTGTTTCTCAATTTCAACCAGCTGGTGAAACTCTTTAAGTTTTCGGCTGTGACACTTATTACTGATATTGAGAGTTAGAGACAATATATAGACATATGTATATAACCTTATTTTATCTCTGTTTTGGGTTGATTTTGCTGATTGAACTGAATATTGTTTATTGTTTTGATGTTTCTACTGACTTTGCCAGGAATCTTGTGCCACAAAAAATTTAAGGGATAAATGTAATGATGAGTGCTTGTTTCTTTGAAGTTATTATGTATGGCATGTGCAGTCTTTATCCTCTGATAGGCATATACATATTTGACATTGCTAATAATGTGCTAAGAATCAGTTAGACATTTATTTCTTCTGAATAATTAATTAATTGAATTGGTGACCGTGGTTCCTCATTCAACCATCTAAGTGTGTAAGTAGTGGGTTGCTTTCACTATTCACTTATTTGTTGCGTCAACTGATTACTTATGCGTTTTCTATGATATATAAAGTGTTTTAGTTCAATGGGTGGCCCATAGATATATAACTGAATCAAACAGAATCTGAACCGTGAGATGAGATAATGTAAAGTATTGTAATATTAAAATTTATTTCATTTTAAAAATCAAATTTTTTTCTGACAGATGTTTTGGTCAGTTTTGGTTTATTTACATTGAAAAAAAATATGCTTATTGAGTTTGAGCTTTCCCATTGATTCAAGGGCTTACCATTCCATTGGTAAATGGTTGCAGCTACTTGAAAAGGGGAGTTAATGATCATGGAAGAGTGGCAAATGATGTTGAAACAGAGCAAATTGTCCTCGATGAAAAAGCTGGGTCATGCAAAGGAAGAATGAGTTCTGTTGTGCAAATGAGGGGTTCAATTCCTCTTTTCTGGTCACAAGAAGCTTCAAGATTTAGTCCAAAACCAGATATAATCTGTAAGAACTATTGCATCTGTTTGGTTTTTACCATTACTTTATAATATTCTTCTGATTTTTCTGAGTTGTGTGCTATGCTGCTGAATCCAGTACAAAGATATGATCCAACTTATGAGGCAACAAAGATGCATTTTGAAGACCTGGCAAGGAGATATGGAAACCCCATCATTGTACTTAATCTGATAAAGGTTAGTGTCTAAAGCTTATCTTAATTCTTATGGAAACCCCAATAATACTCATATAACTCAAACATATTTACCTATTTGAACCTCATGCACTCTCATTATGGGTGGGATTGTTTGAAGATTGATCAAGTTGGGTTGTAACTATATTGTCACTGTTCATTTTTTGTGCTCTTTTTTTCTTTTCTTTCTTTCTTTCGTGTGTGTGTGTGTGTGTGTGTGTGTGTTTTTTTTTCCTTTTTCGGGGAGGGGGGAGAGCCATTTCTATTTTCCTTGTTAATGTTATTCTATTCTGATTTCTTAATGATATGGGTAATTTTCAACTTAATGCTTCCAGCATGTTAGGAGATCCACACTTAATGCTACTCAGTTCTAGGATTTCCTCTGCATGCACAATTGTTACTGTCTTTACACATTCGTTTGTTGATTTCAGACTGTAGAGAAAAGGCCACGAGAAATGATGCTGAGGCGTGAGTTTGCAAATGCAGTTGGATATTTGAACCAAATTTTTTCTGGAGAACATCAGCTGAAATTCATACACTGGGACTTCCACAAGTTTGCAAAAAGGTAGATATGCTTAGTTTTTTGTGAATACACTTCTTTAGAATTTATGCTGATCTTTTACCCTGTGTCTTGAAGCAAATCTGCAAATGTGTTGGCAGTTTTGGGTGGTGTGGCAAGTGAAGCCCTTGATTTAACAGGATTTTACTGTAGTGGAAAGCCTTTTCTTGTCAGAAAGCGAGCTACTCAAATCAGTAGGACAAGTACTGCGAGGTAATAACATGATTTGCCCTTTCGATTTTGAAAAATTACTTTCTTATAGTCTATAGCATCTTGGATGAATTTTGTCCCTTCTCATAGGCTTTCAGTAGGAGAATTCTGTCTTTGGCATTTGAAACTATTATGGTATGATATAGGCAATTCAATAATGAGAACAATATTATTCCCAGATCTTCAGACAGCAATCTATATATTTTATGATCAAACGTCGGAGACTGCTAGTGTTGGAAATATTACTGGACCTTTTTTGGGATTTCTTTGTTGAAAGATTTTGTTTTCTAGTTTTGGAAAGATGTATTTCTTTTTTAATTGCGGAGTTTTTGCATTTTAAAGTGGGCCTTTTTAGGGGTATCATGAAAGAGAAGAAGAAAAGTAATCAGAATTCTTTTTGGGATGTGCAAGGTGTATTTAGTAGTAAGGTTCTTTTTAATTGATGCATCATTATTAGCGTATAACCTAAGATTGGACCAAGGTCACTCAACTGGACTATAATGCACATGGACCAAATCACACTAAAAGACTGAATCCAATCAATTAGTTAGTTTAACCCATGGCCTTATAAACCTATATGTCCTCTCTTATATTTTCAATGTGGGACTCTTAACACTCCCACTCAAGTGGACAACCGGGTCATTTTGAATCTAACCGGTTAACCACTCGAAATTGGATTGGACCCTCCCCTGAACCGAAAGCTCTAGACGCCACCAAAGTGGATCGAACAAGCGGGCTTGGGATTGGATCCTCCCCCTGAAACGAAAGCTTGGACACCACCAATACCCAGGTAGACAACCGGGCTCTGAGACCATGTTATAATCTAAGATTTGGCCAAGGTCACTCGACTGGGCTATAATGCACATGGGCCAAACCACACCAATCAATTAGCTAGTCTAACCCATGGCCTTATAAACCCATATGTTTTCAATGTGGACTCTTAACAATCAACTACATGTTTTACTTTGGGGGCATCTTGGTTTTTAATACCTCTTTGGATTCCGTTGTGGAGGAGGATGATTTCATCTGGCAAGCATTGATTTTCCTGGAATCCAATTATATGCTCGACCTTTCACGTGCATGAAATCTATATCCTATTATCTTGTTGAGCGATCATCAGTTAACTAAAGTCTTGAAAGGCTTGCCTCTGTGCATTTCTCACTTACCTATCTCATCCATTACATTGTGAGGGTGGGGTTTTGAGGGTCCCTCTTTCATAAAATTGATTTCATTATTCTTTTGACATTGTTTATACTGTCTTTTTTATATACTTTCACGTTTCTGATGTCAATATTTTGTTAATCACAAAAGAAGTATTTGAGATCCTTCTTGATGAGAATGGCATCATTATTTTATCCTAGTACATTTAGGTTGTTATCATCTATTACTCTTATCCTATATTGCATTATATTTTGTGTTCTATTTTCTTCTGTAAGAAAAAAAGGGGGAGAGTGATGCTGGGGTTCGTTCCGTGCATATCCTTTTTTTGCACCTATGAAGTTGCTAAATGGTGTTTTATTCACAGTGGTTTTCTCCAGACACTGGTTATGCTCTTTTTGTTCCAAACTTTTCTTATTGTACTAAACCATTTTTATCCTTGCTTTGGGCAGGGACTCTTCTATAAGAGATTTGAGAGCTAGTTCAGGGGACCTATCTAGGATTGGTAGTGCTAACGATGTTCTTAATTCCTTAAGCAAACAAGATAGAGAGATGGATAGTAATCTGCAGGTTGGCAAAGATAATAGCACTAATGTTGCACCGCAATTTCAAAGTGGAGTGCTCCGCACAAATTGCATTGATTGCTTGGACCGAACAAATGTTGCCCAATATGCTTATGGTCTTGAAGCTTTGGGTCGTCAACTACATGCAATGGGATTGACTGATAAGCCCAAAGTGGATGCCGATAGTAGCATTGCTGCTGCTCTCATGGATATGTACCAGAGTATGGGTGATGCCCTAGCTCAACAGTATGGCGGCTCTGCAGCTCACAACACTGTGCGTTCATCATATATTTACAAGTCGAATTTAGTACTTGGTTATCTTGAATTTGGTAATCTTCTTGTGTTACTAAGGGAGTGCTGATATCTTGACTTTGCTTATGCTACTGTGGCGAACAAATGTAGGTCTTTCCTGAAAGGCAGGGCAAGTGGAAAGCTACGACCCAGTCAAGGGAATTTCTGAAGTCTATCAAACGCTACTATAGTAATGCATATACTGATGGTGAAAAACAAGATGCTATTAATCTGTAAATATCAATCATTTGCCATTAATCTTGCGTTTTTGTTTTCTGGGCAACCTGATATCTAAAGGTTTTCCCTTCTGGAGTAGTTGACTTGTCAACCTGGAAATTTCATATCTTGCAGTTTTATCATGGTCATAAGGTCTCTATTTTGATCAGTTTATTTTCCCAGATTTTTGGGTTATTTCCAACCTCAGGAGGGGAAACCTGCACTTTGGGAGTTGGATTCCGATTATTATCTTCACGTTTCTGGTATTGGAGATGACATTGTTCCAGAGAAATGGTAAACAGTTTGTTACTAATTTTTGCATTTTATGCTCTGTATAGAATTCTTTTAAACATTATCTTGCTTTCCTCGAGTTTGGTCTATGTAATGTATTGTAGACTATCTTTGGAGTGTTGATCGTAATATATATAAAAAAATAATAAATGTACAATCTTGTTATCATCTTAAACTTTTAGTTGAGACAGAAAACTTCCTTCAATTTTGAGGCATCAGTTTTTACTTAATGATCCAATGAATGTAAAGATCATGTCTTTTCCATTCTTAATTTCTTAGTTTCAATTTACAGTTCTTCAGTTGAAGGAAGGCCTTTAGGACAGGGGGCTACTCTGGCTCCTATTCCAGCTTGCAGGGAGGACTTCTCACGAATCAAATTTACTTCTTTTGATAAACTGATGGGAAGAACTTGCAGTTATATCAGAAATGTCCGGCTTTGCAGTGAAACTGAGCAAAAGTCTGGAAATTCTGGAGTTGCTCCTGATGCGGCGTAAGTTCTTTCTTCAAATATACTTTCTGATAGGGCATTTGATGGTTATTTTATGTAATTATCTGAATTTTTAATTGCAGTGAGATACAGCTTAAGAGCCCAAATTGGCTTTTTGGACAAAGGAAGTATGAAGATGGTAACACTGCAACCAAGTTGGGCTCGAACGAATTTCCTAATGGTGGGTCCCAAGATTTGAGGAGAATCGATGGCTTAGGTGATCTTAGCTGGCTCTCTAGCATTACTGACACCAGTGACGAGGACACCTTCCAAAGGTATTTTTTTTCCCGAAAATTTCATTTGCACCTTATCTAGAGCTAGCTGCCTCTTGCTTGGTAGAGTTAATTCAATATGCAGCAATGTGCAATACTTAGTATTTGCCTTGATATAAGTAAAAAGTTTTAAATATTCCAATTCGGATATTGTGTTTGGTAAATTGATTATGATGTGCAGTGTTGCAAAAATCGCGCCTAGGCGCTAGGCGGTTGGCCACCTAGGCGCTCTAGGCGCCCGCCTAGGTCCCCAGGCACTCTAGGCGCCCGCCTAGGTCCCCAGGCACTCTAGGCGCCCGCCTAGAGGGCGCCTAGCGATTTTTTCAACCTTGATGATGTGTGTTGACTTCTCCTTCAGATACTTGGACATGACCACCGTAAACGAGGCAAATGGCTGGTATGGTGGTACGTTGCTTGGTGATCAAGATGAAACCAGTGAAATCTACAGGAATTATGCTGAACTTATCCAGGTACAGACGAATTTTTTTTGTTCTTGCGTTGGTGAACTTCAGTATTTCATGAATCAATCATAGTTGGATCATAACTGTTGATCAATGGCCTATTTCTCTTTGATTTACGGGAAAATAGCCCTTTCAGCTTGTCACTATGTCCATAAGCATAATTCTTCCGGTCCTATACTATACTCGTAGATGCATTAATCATTAAAATCATGTTCTCCTCTCTGGAACAATAATTATATTCTGGATCTTAATTTCCCCGATGGTTTGGTTTGGTATTAACTGGTACAAAACAAACAAACAGGGTCCTGCGATGGAACCATTTGGTAATGACTTAGAGAAGGAGAAATACTACGCCAACCTTTTAAGCAAGGGCTCAATCGATGCCATGGATGATGCAGCTATTGAATCAGAGATGGAATCTGAGCTGAGTGGCTATGACAAGATCGGCAATGATCTCGGGATTTTCCCCGACTCGTGTAGAACTTTGGCTGGTGATCCAAGCCAGTTGACTAGATGGTTGATTGGGGAAGATAGGCTACCCAAAGCTTGAAGTTACACCCACTCCTCCACTCCTGCTTTGCTTTGCTTTGTGCCACTACTACTCTTTATCATATCTGATCTGATCTCGAATTATACTCCTATATCTGATCTCGAGATCTCTTATAAAGAATTATACTCCTAAGCCATTTATGATATCTGATATCGAGACCTCTTATAAAGAATTATACACCTAAGCCATCGAGGCCCGAGGAAAAGGGTGAGTAGATGACTGTTTGAGCAGCAAGTTTTACTGCTGATAAGCATGCTGCTTAGAGTTAGTTGTATTGAGTGTTGTAGAGGTAATGTGATAGACTCCTTGTATGATTATATGTATGATGTATTCTTGACTCACAAGACTGAATATTCAAGTGAAAATTAGTATATTGTTATTGCCTTATTCTTCCTGACATGAACATTACCAATTTGCACCAAAATTTATGTATCCAAGAATATATATACACACACCCTTTGTATCAGTAATGGGACACAAACTTGAAATGTATGCATGTACCCACAACTCCGCATAGTTCAGTTGATTCTTGAGTAGCAAATTATAAACATGGACACAGAATCAAGTCCTGATAATCGCAGTATATGAGTCACAGTTCAGTTGATTCTTGAATAGCAGATTATACGCATGGACACAAAATCGAGTCCTGACAATCGCAGTGTGGGAGTCACAGTTCAATTGATTCTTGAGTAGTAGATTATAAGCATGGACGCAGAATCGAGTCCTGACAATCGCAGAGTGGGAGTCGGCTCCTTGTGGGCATTAAACATTGATCTTTTTACTTAACAGGTCACTAAATCACTGTAATTTACTACCTCCACAAATTCGGACCGAAGTGTGGGGGACCCGGGGCGAGGAATTTCACTTTTGTGGACAAGATATCATCATAAACTAAAAATATCAGGTGATTTCAGATTAACAACATTAAAGATAATGGTGGCCTCAATATATCACTTTCATGTAAAACCAATATGTACACAATGGCACCAACAGAATTCAGAAGACAATGTAGCCTGTTAATATAGAGGATACCCTATTTCATGTGTGCCCCCTTAGAAAAACCAGGGCAATTCAGAGGTTGTATGTAAACTCAATGAGAGAGAACCCATTCAAAACCCCCGATTATATCGGGGCAAAGAATGAATTTTCAGCAGTTCTTAGTTATGATCAGAGAGAAGTGAGAAAAAAAATACTTAATGAGATGATGGTGTGTGCTTTAAGCCAAGCTGGTAAGCCTCCCATCCACCCTCTGGCTCTCTCCTCTTTGCGGGCTGTGAAAATTTCAGTTCTGTATTCTGGCTCGGGATTAAGAGCTGCCTCGTGGTGTTCTCCTTCCAGCTTCCATTCATCGAAGAAAAATCACCGCTATTTATCTCGTATCTTGGCTGAAGGTCAGCACCACCACTCGGGGTTTGCCCCCGCACGGGGCCTAACAGATATGGTGCCCCGGGAAAGTTTGGAACTTGAGGGAAAACAGTGTTACCATGAGGGTCTCGGGTACCATAGCAAAGATTGTGGGCGGGAAGTGAATCAGCTTGGGCGATGAAGAACGAACCGTTAGAGGGGTAGCAGTAAGATGGCACGACCTGCATTGTGTATGGTGATAGCTGTGGCTGAACCGGAACAAATCTATGCAGGCGTTCCACGGGCTGGAGCAGATTAGGTGGACCCACCAAGACGGGTTGGCCACGAGCATGGTTAAAAACCGGCATATGACTCAAATCTCCCCTATAAACGGGTCCTAGAATGTTAAGATGTTCTCTGGGATGTCGTTTGGTTGGAAGGCTCGGAACAGCTGCCTGTTCGGGTGTTTTTATTCCAAATGTCGGGTTTCTCTGCAACTGGAGATGATCATGAATGGAGGGATCATCGTTCAAGTTAAAGTCCATCGAAGCATTCTTGGTAAAATTTACTGGAAATGAAGATTGAGGACAATCAATATCAGCATTGTCACCGGGAGCATTAAGGTCAATGGTGAACTTTTCCCCCGGCTTTGAATCACTATAGGAAGAATGTTTAAAATGTGAAACCCCGGGTTTTTTCTCGTTTGCCCATGGAAACCCGATTGCTGGACAATCCTCTTCTGCAGTGAGATTAAGGTCGATTAAGGTCTTTACTGCAGAAACGAGACAAAAAGCACTTGTGACAGAAGTACCCCTCCATCCTAGCTCGCCTCCGAATTTCTTTGTGGAGATGGGTAAGCATAAAGGTACCCCCAACTTAGCCCTCGGGCGTACCACGTTCGAGGACGATACAGCTTCACGGCCTTCAGAGACCGACTGTTTATGATTGTTTAGTCCACTTCTCGGGATATCATCGTTTAGATCAAATCTATTCACGAGTTCATTCTCTTCCTTAACAGCAACATATTTATGCTTTATAATTAGAGACTCGGATGATTGCTGGCCGAGAGTGTTATTGTTGGAAAAACCATTCATCTGTGCAAGCTCCATCGTTCGGGATTGCTTCTCTGCAGCCAAAACCTTCCTATCTTCTAATGCTGATTCGGGATGCAAATCTTCTTTCGAACATAAACTTCGAGAGCTGTCTCGTTTATTGTCCTCTTTTGTTTCAATGGAGGCTTTTGTTTCAGCACCGGCTGGTACACCACTCGAACAGCCATTAGGCACAGACGACTTGGTTTCAATTGACGTTTCCAGGTAGTTGTCATTTGAAGAACAAAGCGGATGAATGAAATACGAGTTAGAACACGAAGATTCAGTTCTCTGAGCTGCATCGAGAATTTCATCCTCACCCGTGTATGTCAGCTTCCCGGGCGCCCTCCAAGTATCAACTTCACTCTTTGCAGAAAGGACCCCATCCGAAGATTGCATTGAATTCTCGGTATTCTTTGAATTCCCATTGAAGATAGCACTCGAAGACACGTTCTCATTGCTAATAGCAGATGCTGAACTAGAGTTCTTCCCAGCACAGTTCCCAGAACTCAGATTAACAAAACTATGCGGTCTTGGATTATTGTTACAATCGCCTTTACCATGGATCACGCTAATCACGCCTCCATCTTTCGGGCCTTTCCCTTTCGAAAAGGGATTACCCTCAAAATTTTTATGCATCTCCACTTCTTTTCTCATTCTCAACCTAAATAAACCCCTAAACAGCACAAGCTATTCTCCTCTGCACCATGAGCTCACTTCCTGCAAGATTAAAATTCAAATTATACATCTCAAAAGAAGCATTGCTTAATACCATGGGCAGATAACCAGGGCATAATGCCCATGGGCCAAACCACATTAAAAGACTGAATCCAATCAATTAGCTAGTCTAACCAATGGTCTTATAAACCCATATGTTCCTCTCCTATTTTGGTACTCTTAGCACAAAGACAATGCATTCTGAGTAACAATTTGAATAAGTTTTGATTCTATATAGCAAAGATGAAGCAATAAATACTTGTCTTTTAAGCAGATTAAACACAAATAGCTGCAACCATACAACCTAAAACACAAACTCTTCAAAATAAGTCAATATTCTGGCAAAGCAGTGGAAGAACTCAAGAAATATCAAGAACAGTAGCAGAATCAATAACACAACCTAACTCATAGAAATCAAACACTTCATGTGAGAAGCAATGAACAAGAATGGATCTATAAATTCAAGACAAAAACAATGATTTAGGTATGTATTTAACCCAATGTTAAACCAGTGAATCATCCCAAGAAACAACTGCAACCCTTTGGAGCTTCAAATCTCAACAGAAAACCAGTAACAAAATATTAAAAGTACTAAAAAAAATCACAGAAACAATGCTAAGAAATGGACAAACCAGGTAAAAGAAAAAACTTGAATAGAGATTCAGAACAAGATACAGAAAAAGAAAGGCAGAAGAGAGAAGAAAAGGAGAGAGGAAAAGACCTGGAAGAGAGAAAAGGAGGAGAATCCCAGTTGAGGAGTGCAGGAAGAGGAGAAAGCTTTCAACTTTATCAGAAACCCAGAAGAGAGAGAGAGTCAAAGATGTGAAAAAACAAAGAGAAAAGCAAGGAAGGGGAGAGGTCTCCTGAAAATTAAAAAGGCCCCTCTTTTTTACTTTGTTGTCCTCCTCCACTGGAACTCACTATCTCTCTCTCTCTCTCTCTCTCTCCCACTACCAAAGTCCAACCAGGAAGAGACTGTCCCCCACAGGTCTAGCCCTAAAAGCCCTAAGCCCCATAACATGAAAGTGATGGAAGGAGGCAATGCATTTCCCTTGTAAAGACTAAAAAGAGAGAGAAAGAGAGATGACGACAAAGGAGAGAGAGTGTGTGTCAGTGTCAGAGAGACAGATGGGGGTGGGACCCAGAGTGAGGGGAACTGGCGGCCACCTATGTCTGACTTGCGGGACCCATCCCTCCCCAACATTTTGCTCTGGCAAGATCCACTGTACTCCGCCAAAACTCTGCTTGCTAGTTGCTTGCTACGTTGAAATTTTAATATAGTTAATAAAGTTAATTTCAAATTTATATTACTCCGTATTTATTTTTTATTTTCATTCTTAATTTTTAAAGTTATCAAATTAAACCACGAAATATTGAATTCTTTTCAATTTTAATACACTATAAACTTGAAATTAAGACTTTATTTTCCCTGTGCGATAAATAATTGACACCATGTCATAGCCTTTTAATTTTACCTTTAATATTATTGATTCACATAGAGAAAAATTAATAGTGGATTGAAATTGAAAATGATTCAATACTTTCAACTAATGGTGATTTTTATGACAAATGTAAAATTTGTAAGCGATGTGGTAAATAGACTCATATCCTTAATACGTATAGTCTACGAAGTACGTGAGCTGGGGTAACTTATATAGTGGGTCAGAGGTTCCCGAGCTTGAGTCCAATGCTAATAGAAAGAAATGCTAAAAAAAGTCCTCCCTCTAAGCATTGAATGTGCTATTTATAAAGTCACGGAGGGAGCATATGTCAAGCTTTCAGCATGCCTCCCACATGTCTCCTCATGCACAGGCCTGTATGAAGGCGCTTTCAATACGTCCATTTGTACAAAGATTCTTAACATTCACCATGCATGGCACAAGACAGTCGAGTGAAATAGTACGCTGATATTTTTATTTTTTTTTTTGGCTCTAGGAACTATATACTCGGCATACCCAACCCGACCATCCAAGTTGGGATGTTTAGTTCGACCGCAAGGGATAAAGTGCGACTGCGACCTATTCATAGGGGAAAGCTTAGACTTGAACTTGGGTCGGATCCAATCCCAATGCGGCTAGATCGGCTCAGGATGTAGCCTGCGTGGCCTACAGTGCTCATATCGAGCATGTCTACGATCATACAAACGACGAGTATATTCTATTAATAAAACTTGTGCAATAAATGAACAATAAAAAACAAAAATTAGTCACATCAAATTGTCATCAACATTGCTAAAAGTGATGCAAATAGTGAATTAGTTGGTATTTTTTAAAAAAATACTCATATATAGCAAAATTTGTACAATTTAATACATTTAAATTTTAAAATATTTATTATCAATAAATTTACTAATTTTATTATAAATTACTCTATCTGACCCATTTTATATGTCTAGTGGACTTAATAAAGCTTGATCAAAGTTATTTACAAGACAATATTTATAATATTTAATTTAAAAAAAATTATATAATTAAAAACTACATCAAAAGCACGTTCAGCAAAAAAATGTTAAAAATAACCAAAGAAAACAAATAATTGAATTGACCAATGAATAATAAACAAGACTATTAAAATGTGAGAAAAAAAATTAAAAATATTAAAATTTTCTATAATAATGTCAATTGCTTCCGTACTCATAATACCAAATACAACAATATAGAGTTAATACTCAAAATTGTCTTCGACTATAGTGGTTTTTTTCAATTTCGTCCTAAACGACTTTGGTGACCTAATATAGTCTCAGACTTTTGTGTTTCGCTCAATTTAGTCCTCCGTTTGTTATTCCGTCAAATTGGTGTTAAATAAAGGGACAATTCAATAATATCAATATTGACCTCTCTTTACTTTCAACCTGCGAAGTGAGAAATCTTCTTTTTCTTACACGAATTACACCCAGAGTTACTCTCAGGCCTACGAATCAAATTTTATATTCGCAGCTTTAGAAGTGATTCTGGGAGTAATTCGTAAAAAAAAGAGGGATTTCGCACTTCACATGTCTATGAATAAAGAGATGCCAATATTGAAATTACTGAATTGTCTATTTATTTAACAACAAATGGACGGGATAACAAATGGGGGACTAAATTGAGCAAAAATACAAAAGTCTGGGACGAAATTGAGTAAAAACACAAAACTCTGGGACTACATTAAGTCACCAAAGTCGTTTATGACAAAATTGAGAAAAACCACTATAGTCGAAGACAATTTTATTATTAACTCCAACAATATATGTTATAGAATAATGTTATTTTTTCTCTTGAATTTTTCTCTAATCGTTCTCTCGAGATGTGTCATTAAGACTATTTATATTTCAAGAGATGTTCATAAATTGATTGTATTAAATATTATTGATATTGATTGTGGTTGACATTGTAGAAAATTTTATAAAACATTTAATACAAAAAGTAGTGTAATACAAATAACAATTAATTCCATTTTTGGTTATAAGTCACAATTTAATTTTAGTTTTTTTTTTTTATCAGAACATTCATATTTGGTCTTAATATTATTATGGCATTACCATTTTTCTTCTCTGTCAACAAAATAGTTGAAATATTGTTAAATACGAAGGCATTTTTGTTATTTTTATACAAAGTGAGTTGACCCAATTATATTTTTATGTTTATTTTTTGAAGAAAATTCGTAATTGAATGTCGAAATGTCTTTATATTAACCATATTAAAACTGTTTTATTGATAAAAATAAAAAAAATAGTTATAATAGAATAATACTAAGATTAAATGTAAATATTTTTATAAAAAAAATTAAAAATAAACTACCACTTATAAATTTAAGAAAAAGAATGAAATTTAAGATACCCGCATGGGCAACTCAATTGGTCACAGAGGTGAAACTTTGGAAGAATGACCAGGGATCGAGTCTTATCAGCGACAGTGTGGGAGCAACCTTTTAAAGCTCTTAAAATGAGGGGGTTTTCTTGTGCGCAGTGAGCACCGGTCTAGCCTCTGTGGTTCATGTTCAGTTGAGACCCCTTCCTTTTGGAAGAAGATAAAGAATGAAATTAACTTTTCAAATAATATTACTACCTTGCAATTTAAAGAAGAGTAAATACCCAAAATGGTTCCTCGACTATAGCTAAATTCACAAATTGGTCCTCGACTTTTAATTTCAACCAATTAAGTCCTTAACTTTGCAATTTTAACACAATTTGGTCCTTTGTCTATTTGACCGTTTGTTGACTGCGCTTTTTTAGGATATATATGTAATTTCATGGTCCATCGTCGGTTTTTTAAAGTTCCGGTTGCATTTCTAGACCGCACTGTTACATTTGAATCCACTGCCGGCGCTGCACCCCATGCCAGAGAGATTATAGCTTTTGATAGATAGATCGCCGAAGTCCCTAGAGTGGCTCTTCGAGAAAGCCGTGACTCCAAGCGATGTAGGCAAGCTGAACCGGCTCGGGATCCCCAAGCAGCAAGCGGAAAAGCACTTCCCCCCTCCGAAACGGCGCTGTCACCTCCAAAAGCGTTCTCTAAGCTGAACCGGCTCGTGATTCCAAGCAACAAGCGGAGAAGCACTTCCCCGTCCGAAACAACGGTGTCACCTCCAAGAGCGTTCTCTTGAGCTTTGCATGTGAAACTACATATATATCTTCAAAGATCGCGGTCAACAAACGGTCAAATAGATGGAGGACCAAATCGTGTCAAAATTGCAAAGTTAAGGACTTAATTGGTTGAAATTGAAAGTTGAGGACCAATTTGTGAATTTAGCTATAGTCAAGGGACCATTTTGGGTATTTACTCTTTAAAGAACAAAGTGAAAAGGGGGAAATCACACATTTGGTCCCTCAATTAGTGCCCAATTTGCAATGTCATCCTTAGTTCCCAATTTGTACACAATTGGTCCCTCAATTATTTGACCATTAAGCAGATTTAGTCCTTCTGTGAGATCATCAGTTTAACTCCGTTTAAATCACAGGTATAATTGAAATTTCATATGAGTAAGAATTGAAAGTAGTTTAGCCATCAACATAGCTGTGATTTCCAGTGATGATGGTCTGGTTAATGCCGTCGCCGATCATCATAAAGTATTTCTTGTTCTTGGCAATGGAGACGTGTTCCTCGTGCACGCCGACAGTCATGTATACGAGGAAGTAGCCGTCGTCGGACAGAGTGTTGTTGGGAACAGCGGCGACATCGTCATTAATGGTGGTAAAATTTCCACTCCCACCTTGACTCACAACCACAATATCAGTCACCAGAACCTGGTCATCTTCCTGAGTTTGCAGGAGCTTTCTCCGGCTAACTTGCTCGAAAATCGCCTTCGTCCGTTCCAACATCTTTAGAGGCAAACGCCCGTTCCAGAACCCAAGCTGTTTCTTGGTCGGACGCCAAGCTCCGGCGCCGGCGGCCTTCTTTTTCCTTGGCACCCACCCTTTAGTGAACAAAGCCAGAGAAACACTAAACAGCCGTGTTTCGTTCGCCAGCGGCGCCACGATCCCATTCCTAACGCTCTAAGCTGACGACATCACTTGCAGGCTGTCTATACACGTCTGCGTGTTGGTGAGAATGGCGCTGAGCAATGTTTGCACGTCGTCGGCTTCCAACATCGGGAGATACCGGGAAGTCTTGTTGACAGTCTTGAAAGAACTGGAGAGATAATCCATGTTTAAATCGGCGAGGAACTCGCAATCCTTGAGAGCTTGAACGGTGGTGGTGGTGGTTAACGACTTGGAATTGCGGCGAAGGTACTTCTGGATCAATGACAGAAACTTGTGTGCAGCGGATAAGGATTTGCAGACGGAGAATCGACCATAGTCGTAGACATTGGAAGAAGAGTTGTTGCTGGGGAGAACAGTTTGGCAGTAAGATGGGTAGGGAGTGGACTTGCAAATGGTGGATGCCGAGACATTTCTCGACGGTGGCGTAGCATCTGCGACGACGGAAATAACAACCGGGCAGAGAAAGGGGAAAAAAAATTAGCTTATTATATTCAAGGCTATGTGAAATTTCAATTATACCCATGATTTAAACGGAGTTAAACTGATGGTCTCACAGAAGGACCAAATCTGCTTAATGGTGAAATAATTGAGGGACCAATTGTGTTCAAATTGAGAACTAAGGATGACATTGCAGATTGGGCACTAATTGAGGGGCCAAAAGTGTTATTTCCCCTACTTATTATAAACAATGCTATGTGAAATTCCACTTTTACCCATGCTTTAAACGGTGTTAAACGGCCATACAGACAGAAGGATCAAATCTTCTTAATGATCGAATAATTGAGGGATTAAATATGTTCAAATTGAAAACTAATGATGACATTGCAAAATGGGCACTAATTAAGGGATCAAAATGCGATTACCTAATAGAAAAAACGAAATAGTCCGCGGTATATTGTATATATGGCATTAATAGAGACAGCGGTGGTGGGGTATCGGCAGGAGACACTAAAATGGTGTCATGGGAATCGCAGTCAAGAAGAGGTCATCTATATGAATGCAACACACCCCCCCCCCCCCCCCCCCCCCTTAGTGTGACCTAGTACTGGGCCCCACTTTTTGCACAACAATCTTCCACCATGGACCCCATTTCTCTCCCATCTTGTCTTTTTGTTCTATTTATTATTTGATAATAAAAGGGTCAAATACAACCTGAAGTGTGTGATTGAGTGAGAGGAAGTCATCCATTCTTAATTAAAGGTCAAGGGTTCACTATTCCACCAAAAGAGATGTCGAAGTGCCTACAATTCAGCAGGTCGCCTCCTTCTTAAAAAAGGGTCAATCATTAATCACCATCACCCATTGTTGACCCCCGCCATCCTAAATAGTAATTAAAAAAAAAAAAATTATCAGCGACCGACTTCGACTGAGGAAGACAGCAACCTTGTTCAGTCGCCGGTGGCTGATTTAATTATTAGATATTACATGTTGGTGATCGGTTATTGAACTTAAATGTATTAAAATGATAAGCTTATGTGTTTAATTAATTTTTAAAAAAATTTAAGGATCTAATTACAATTTTGTACAATATTTATGGGTCTATTTGACCATTTTCTTTATTTATTTTATTCTTTTCTGTTTCTATCTTCATTCCTGTTTTTGTGTTACTAATTTACAACAAGGCAAGAACCCAGAATTCCTTAATTAAATACTTACCCAAAGAGGAACAATGACAGTGTGTAATACACTTTTCACTTTTCACTTTTCACATTTCAATATTTAAATTTCACTCGAGTATACCGCGTTACATTCAACAATACTTTTCAAAGCCTTCGATATTGCTAAAGTGTACAATTTGAGTTGAGACGGCTTTTTAAATAGTTATTATCCACGTTGAAAAAGAGATATAGGTTTGCAGTATATATACAAGTATACAATTAAATTTTTTAAGGAGTTTGAATTGTATAGCATAGAGATACTTTTTCATGTGCAAGTCCACTTTTCTTATAAATAGTGACTGAGGCGAAATTGAGCAACCGTTATTTTGAAATTTTGTTTTTGATATTGTAGAAAATTCCCAACATTTTCCAATTTACTTCATCAGTTGGTGGTTTTGTTATTAAAGTGTAGGTCATGATAATTTCACATCAAGTTATGAGAATTTCGTGAAGGATTAAGGTCGGCAAAAAGAAAAGGTTATAAAATATTTGAGGTAAAGTTTGATTCGGAAGCTATGGTAATGGAAGGTTATTCAAGGGTTCGGAAAGGTGATGAAATGAGGGTGATGAGGTCCACACTTTTGCTGGACTATTGGAAACAAATATGTGAGAATTGGATTTGCATTGGTAGCATCGCATACTTTTAAGGAATAAAATAAATGTGTAAATCACCTTATTAATTTGGGACAATTAATTAATAAGTTTGAGCTCCAAATGTATGGAGTTTTCAATGACCCTACTCTAAATACTGATGAATGAAGTAAATTACTTTTTGCTCAGTTTTATCACTTAAAAAAAAAAAAATTGGTTGTATAAAATTATAAAAATCGTTATTCATTGTTCCAATTTGATTATCTTCGGAGGGAACACGGTTAAATCTTAAAAGCAGCATAAGAATATCATTATCCTTATTCATGCAATACTCTCTCACTTTTAAAAGTGGGTCATACTTTCACACCATCAAATTTGTAAGAGTTGTAATACATGTATTCCCAAATCTTACCCCATCAAATTAATACCTTGATGTGACGGGTATTGATGAACTATTTTTTTCATGTGAGTCCAGGTAAATGTGTCTACATCAAAATTATAAGTGCAGAAGTAAAAGTTGAAATTTGAGAATGGGAGTACATATAGTATTTTCCAATTTGCAATTCCTTTATTATTTTCCCTACATCCCTACAATACTTTCACACTTTAAAAAAGAATTCCACTTTCATATCACGTCAAAATAAAATCAATAAAAAAGAATTACTTTCTAATGTGCCATGTCATATATTGTAAGATAAAAATTGTTGGGGATGAGGTTAGACTGAGTCAAGGCAGGTATATTATGAGTAGAACATGGGAAAATAATGAGCGCAAGGACAATAATTAGTGTTTCTCTAATTCTCTCATTAGTCTTGAGACTCATAATAAAACCAATTAACACTACATAGTACATACATTTACTTTTTGCTTTAACTTTTTTACTTTATTAAAAGAGACTTTTTTTTTTTTTTGGGCATAAAAAAAGACTTGTTTTATTCCATACTCTTTATTTTTCTTTTTTATTTTATTTAATAAAGTTAGAATATACGACAAAAAAATTACTCTCTTCTCCCAAAGGTTGAATCCTCAACCCTAAAGGCCCCCCTCACACTCCGACCCGACAGAATATGTGAGAGGATGTAAATTACGGTGACTCAATAGTTCAGTAGACAGAGCCAAATGCCGGTGCACACAAGGAACCCGCTCACTTTAGACATAATTCTCACATTGCCGTCGCCGAGGTTCGAACCTTACAAAAAGTTTTCTCTAAATATACATTTATCATGTTTTAACATTTTTTATAGAATAAACAAAGTCATAATATTAAAATGTTGTGTATAAATTAACAATTTTGAAGGTGAAACCCAACTTCAAGACAAGTTACTCTGGCGAATTTCACCTAGAAAAAGAAATCCACTTGTACACTTATACATTTCGTTTTCAGTTGTTACTTAGTTGTAAATAGTGTTGCTCTAATGTTGGTGGATGATAATGAAGGATAAAGAAGAGAAAGTGTTAAATGAAATTACAAAAATACCCCTTCTTAATTAAGGTTAGAATGCATAATTAAGGAATGAAATGAGAGGATGTAGGGAAGACAAAATCCTGTAAAATGTGAGGGACCCTTTCTAGTTAGAGATTGGAGGTGGTGATTTCCTAATCCATTGAAATCACTGTAATACTAATCCAAGAAAAAAAAATCTAACATCTCCTGGATTGGAGCATTTAGGCAGTATAATTCACATTTTTATTTAGCATTAGGCAAAAGTTTAAGCAACTGGTACTAAATTAAGATGAGTGAACCAAGGCAACACACATTTAAGAAGCAAGCAGTTTCTATGTCCTAATCAAACCCTGTTTTAACTATTAATGTTACACATAAAAAACGTAAAACTTGCCAACCTGAAACTCTCGCTCTGATCTGATGACTTGTCAAGCTTCAGCCAAGTAACTTAGTAAGCATTGCATCAGGTTGGGTAAACGCAGCAGCTTCTGCGCTAACTTTTTGCTTCTTTGATGGCCTCTCGACTGCAGGGCAGCTGGAATCTGGTGAAAGAGCCTCGTTATGAGAAGATGGCGAGGCATTAAGCGAAATGCCCTTAACTGGATTGCGTTGTTCGTTTTCAGGCTTTTCAGATGCAGGTACAGGCGTCACTGGATTTGTACTGTTATCAGATACCGGGGCATTCTCGCCTGCTGATGCAGACGTAGCCCCAGAGGACTCTGGCATTTCGAGTTGCTGTTGTTCTTCTATTATCTTCTTCAAATACTTGCCTTGGGCCTCTATCCTTAGCTGTAGCTGGCGCTGAACCTGTTGCCATGGGGTAAAATATATACATACATTTAACTATTATGTCCATCTGAACTAGAAGTTTGATTGTCAAAAGAATATGCTGAAAATCGTATTTGTGCTGATTAGAGAACACAGAAACAAAGAAGAAATGATCCCAGACTTGCTTATGAAAGTCGTACTTGGGAACTGTTTTTAGCCAAATGACGTCTTTGTCACTATTTGCTGATACACTTGAGATGCATGAAAACATTTATCCGCCAAGTGCAAACCTACCTAGTACATTTACTTACTATAATGGAATATACTAAGGGCACATGTATATCTATGAAAGAACGATATAGATAAGAATACAGCACAATGTGAACAAGAAGACAAATGAACCTCTAGTTGCTCGTGTAGGCGCTTTTGGACCTCCATCTGCAATTTTAGTGCCTCAGTTATTTGCATTCCACTGCTAGCCAAGTAATAATGGAAAGGAAAGGGTCAGTGTTAGGAATCAATTTCACAATAACCATTTCCAGCCACAAGTATAACCAACACAAGTTTGTTATAAAAGAAATAGACAAAGCAAGGAGTGAAAATCTACTCACGATGAATCATCTAGGCCGGAGATTATATCACTTGAATCTTTCTTGTCGGGTTTTTTTCCTGGAAATTGTAGTTTACAAGACAATTCTCAGTAATTTACAGGAGAATTGCCATCACTAACATGTAGTATCAACTTGCAAATAAAAACGTAACCCACCATCAGATGATGCATCGGGAAGGTATTTGGAAAGTCGATATTTCTGGATGCTTAGAGAAATAAGTGGAAGTTAATGCCTGATAACAATCATGGAAAAAAGGCCCCAAAAAAGGAACAGTCACATATATTAGAATTACGCATGGGTACCTGTAAATGGCTTTTTACATGATAAATTGTCAGCCCTTGCACACCCATGAGTCTCAAAACACCTTTAGGAGTAGCCCCTGTACCAACAACACATGACTTAAACTGTGAAAGTGTGAATAATTCATAAATTCCAGAGAATAGAAAAATAGTTTCAGACAGTAATATTTTAGACACTTAATCTTGAATTAATGACAGAATGGAGACCAGAATGTGGATGCATTTTTCAAATGAGACTTGTTGAAAATAAAAAAGAAAAAAGGACAAAATTAGAAAATACTTTTGTTACAATGCATTCTTATGAACTTTCCCTTTTAGCCAAAATAAAAATGTGTTTATCTGTAGATATTTTGGACAAGAGCTTACTGTTTTTAGCAAGTACTGAAAAAAGCCTTTGAAGATTTGATATGTAGGTACATGAAAAAGGTGGTTCTGAAGCCACAGAAATAGAACTAGCTATAAAGTTAAATGTCAATGAACTCACTATCTGGGCCACCAAGTTGTGCAACTGAATCAACAAATCTTTCATGAAGCTCATGTGACCAACGCAGACGTTGTTTTGAAGCAAGACTAGGATTGTTGTTGAGATTGTTATCCCCATTGATTGGTTCCATTGTGCTGGCACTAAAGTCTAATGTCTGCTGGCTGACTATTGCCTTGTTGGGTACTAAGCTTGAACTAAGAACAGCTTTCGGTTGGTACATTACATTAAGCTGTAAACAAGAATTCAGATTTCAGAGTCATTTACATTGAAAGACAGCTGACTAGCATAGAAATTCTGAAATCAGAAAATTTGAAGTGAAATTCCATAGCATATATATTTCAGAAAAAAAAAAAAAAAAAAAAAAACAAGAACTCTCACTGTGCAACAGCAAAGAGAAAGACATGCTTCATTCTGACAGCAATAAAATATTGCCTTTATTTTCATTGTGGGAGAGATTAAACAGAATATATGGAGCTGCCTACTTCATTATTGATGATAACTTGTTGCTACTCTAAATGACCATTACATATGCACCTTATCTCTAACAAAAGAATTTTCCTTTCTTGGCCAGCCAAACACAATCTTATCCCAGACTTTCAGGTATTCTTACGCAAGCCTTTTTTCACCATTCAACTGTATATGGAGCATACAGAATATTCTTTAGAAAATTTTCTTCATGTGATTATCTAATGAATGAACACAAATATAGATTTAATTTGCACATACATGAGTCTGATAGACTGATACTAATTTATCTGTTATAAATCACAATTATTAATTACCTCTTTGGCTGTTCCTCTTGGGTTAGTCATTTTGAAACCATTAATGTAAACTCCACCCTTTATAAAAATGCCACACTTACCATTTCTCACATATCTAAAATCAAATAGTCATAACAGATCAGTTATGGCCAAAAAAAGGTCATACCGGACCTTTTTGCACTTCCTATGTCATTCTTCAACTTTAAGCTAAGTTTATTTCTATATGTATGATCACACCTTAAAAGTATAAGTACATCAGGCGATTCATTTGACGGCTATGTGGCCCAAGTTTAGTCATTTGGAGGACTAAAATAAGGGTGTGATTGGAAACCATGGAAATGACTTCTGGAAAATGTTTTATAGAAAATGAGTCATCCAGAAAACATTTTCATTTCTAGTGTTTGGTAGTGTGATGGTGGTGGTGTGGTGGCGGTGGTTGCAGTGGTGGTGGTGGTGGCGGTGGTGGCGGGGGTGGTGGTGGTAGTGTGGTTGTGGACTGGTGGTGGTGATGGTGGTGATGGTGTTGGTAGTGGTAGTGGTGGTGTGGTGTTGGTATGAAAATTGGAAAATGACTTCCCTCAAAAAAGATGAGAAGTCATTTTCCAAGAAGATGAGGTTATTTTCCTTTGACCAAAGAGTCATTTTCCTTTGACCTACATTTTTCACCCTTTACCAAACACTGAAAATCCGGAAAATGATTTTTCGGAAATCATTTTCCGGGTTTCCAAACACACCCAAGTAAAAAATTGAACAAAATAGTATCTCCAAAGGATTCAAATATGTACAAATTTGACAATTAAGGACATTATTAAATGAGATTGAAAGTAGTGAAATCACTATAGCTGAATCATTTTCGAAATTTACTCGGTATAACATAACTAAAAGAGAATATGCCCAAATGAATTTGTACTAACTATGCAGATTTGTACTATGTACATAAGTAAATGAATATGCCCAAAATTAACTTACAAGACCATTTTCTTTGATTTCAGTCCCTTGTCCATTTCATTGATAGCAAGGCACAACGGTGAAAAATGCAATTCATAGCAACTATACACCTAGACAACCAATCTTCCAACGACCAAATTGCCGGATGTCACTTGAAGCAGCTTTGATATATGGCACTAATTTCTTAAATTTTCAGCCAAATACAAATAATTCCCCTCTCTCATTCCCCTTAACGTTCAACTATACAACTTTGACGCACCAAAAATTTAAGTTTATCTCCACACGCACACCCAAACTGCTTAATTTCCTCAGCGGTCAACCTCTCCCCTTCTAGCTAAAAGAAGTTTTTTTTTTTTTTTTTTTGGTTTAATCAGTATCTTAATTTTCATCTTCCAACCAGCAGAGGGAGATTAAATTAAGTCTCTAACCCTAGCTTTATACGAATACTCCGTTTTTTAAGTTTTAATTAACGGCGAATCTCCCATGTCAACCGGAAAAATGTTTTACGGAGTAACTTTTTGCACAGAATTCTATGTAAAAAAAAAAAAAAACAGGAAAATGAGAAAACGATCATCGCACGAGAGCGAAGATGGCGAGAATCCAGGGTAAAAGTTGTAACTATCGACTCACCGCCCAAATAAGAGGTTGAACAGTGCTTCCTCTCCTCCTCCTCTGTCTTTGACGGCGATCTCCGATCCTTCTCTCTCTGTGCTTTGACTTATAGAGAAAGGACGTAGACAAAGATGAAAGTCGGAGATATGAATTTAAAATCCGCGGCGATTACGTAAGGCGGCTGCCGAAGCTGAGGTGAGGCGGAGTAGGAAGAGATCAGAGATGAGATGATTGTTCAGCCGGCGTTTACAATGGAGGATAAAACAGTAAAACGACGAGAGATAATTGGCTGGCCGGGGCCGGCTCGGAATCTCCAATGTAATATTCCGGGCCATTGTGAAATGAAATGAAATATGCGCATACACATTTTATTATTTCTTATTTCTTTCTTAATTTTAACGGCTATTTTGGACCTATCCGGCTCGGCTGGCTATTCATCCCCCATTTCCCCCTATAATTTTCGTTGATTTTCTTCTTTTTTAATATCCGATTACACCAACCAGGGACAATGAGTTAAAAATTCCACATACTCACCTTTTTTTAACGAGGATAATTCGCGACTAAATAAGAGTGTGTACAAAAATAAAATTTGTGATACTTTTTTTTTTTTAAAGGAATTTCATATATATAAGAAAAGGTCAAGAAATCTATTGTACTTGGCGGGAATAGAAATGTCATATATCAATCAAAATTGTAAAAATTGCTAGCCCTTTTTTGGACGTCCTTTTTATTTAATACTTGATAATTATAATTTATTTAATACTTTAATAGTTAATATTAAAATAATTAAAACGGCATAGATTTGAGCAAAACAATCTATTTAAAAAACACTTAAAAATAGTTAATCAATAGTCTAAACACTCGTTTAGGCCGCATAGTCCGCCGTGACCTAGGTGGCCGCCTAAAATGATGATTCTGCTAAAATTCTAGGCAGTCGGCCACCGCCTAGCGCTTAAGCGCAATTTTTGCAACATTGATATCAATCGTTATACTATTGATCATTGTCCAATTTACAAGGTGGATCACTGTCATGCAGTTCATTTTGAATATATTAAATGTTCATTTTTGTGTACTGAAGATTTATTTTTAGCTTTAATTTTAGGTAGTATACTAAAAATAAAGATGTAGTATATAATACACTAAAGATGAACATATATGTTAGTAATTCATCTTGTATTGTGGACCATAGTCCATAATATAATAATTGAAAAGAAACTCAAGCAATTTAATCCCATGGTTATAGTTTTTGAAAATTATTAAAGAAATACTTCATCCGTCCTATTTTATGTATCTGGTTCAGTTAACGAGACTTGATTGAAGTTATTTTTAATTCAATTTTTTTAATATTAAATTTAGTATTAGTATACAAAATTTATATATTTATAAACTATACTATAAGTACTATTAAACAGAAAAATTAAATTTAAAAATGAGTAAAAAATATTAAATAAAATAAATAAAGAAGAAAAAATTTGTTTGACCAATAAATAATAAGTATGACAGATATATTGGGACATAGGGAGTATTAATTATTTGTTGTGCCCTCACAAATGATTCAATTGATCCCTAACATGGCGTTTGGTTGGAAGGAACGAATTAAGGGGGAAAGGAATTGTAATTCAGTGGGAAAGAGGGAAAGAATAAGGTGGAATAAAGCAGGAATTCAAATTACATTGTTTGATAAGGATGAATAGAATTATTGGGGATGAAAATGGAAGAAGTGCTATAAAAACTAAAATGTCCTTGTGTAATATGCTAATAATAATCAAGGGTAAACAAGTCATTTTCCTCCCTTTTCCCTTTCCTTTCCCCCTTGAATTGCAATTCATATGGGGAAGGGTATGAATTACAATTCAACAAAATGAGAAATTGCAATTCGGTGAAATTGCAATTTCTTCCAACAAAACAGTGTAATTTAAAGCTTTAATTTGCAATTCAATTACAAGGAAACTACAATCAACCAAACAGTCTGTAATTGATAGATTTTGGAAGAAAACATATGATTAGATTCTAGTAGTCTGGTGTAAGAGTTTCACCAATAAGAATGTTAGAGGGTAAAAAAATAAAGAAGTAATCAATTTTTAATTAGATAATAAGACAGTCGCGAAGCATGCAGAAACGTGGAACCGTAATTTGGTCACACACATGCAGTTGGACACGTGTTTGACGACAACGCTTACGTGGGCTGATTCAAACATCCTCCTCAAAACCTGCTACAAGATCCTACGACTCCTCATAATCATCATCTTCTTCTTCTACATCCTCCGACTTCAATTCTTAGCAGAAACAAATATGATGAACATTTTGGCTCTATCGTTAATCCTCATCACACTGGGAGCCAGCGGGATCTTCTCTCCGAATGCAGACACAAAAGCTGTAGTGGTCGAATTCGAGAAAGACAATAACAATGGCGGCGGCAACACTAAGGTTTCGATTTCGCCGCAAGAAGCGGCGCAGAACTCGCGGCTAGAGAAGGGGTACGTTTTGAATGCGATGGAGAAGATTTCCGAGAAAGCAGAGGAAGTGAAACAGAGGTTCAAGGACGCCGCCGCCGTTCTTCCAAACGTCGGCGAAGGGATTTCCGGTCATCAGGAGGAGGAGGAGGAAGTTAAGGAGACGGCCAAAGAGGCCGCCGAGAAAGTGAAGACCGCCGCAAAGGAAAAGGTAACGGAGAAGGTGAAAGATAGGCGAAAAAAGGAGTTGAAGGACATTCTTCGGCGAGGCGGGGAAGTGTTGTACGATGCATTCGAGTACATTTTCTCGCCGGAGAATCTGACCGCCGTGTTCGGAACGGCGCATTTGCTAGGGCTAGCCACCGCCTACGGGATGTGCGTGTGGGTATCGTTCATATCAAGCTACGTCTTATCTACGGCGCTGCCCAGACAGCAAATCGCCACAGTCCAGACCAAACTCTACCCGTTATATTTCAAGGCAATGGGTTATAGCATCGGAGCGGCGTTTTCCGGCCATTTCTTGGGGCAAACACGGTGGCCGTACTCGAGCGCCACGGAGGCGTACCTTGGGTTTAATCTTGTGGCGGCGCTTATAATGGTTTTGGTGAATTTGGTGTACCTGGAGCCTAGAGCGGCTAAGGTGATGGTTGAAAGGATGAAGATGGAGAAGGAAGAAGGGAGAGGGATGAACGGAGAGGGAAGCGGCGGCGGCTCGCCGGGAATGATGAAGCTGAGCAAGAGGCTGAAGAAGTTGAATTCACAGTCGTCGTTTCTAAACGTGCTTACACTGATGGCCATGACTTTGCACCTCGCCCACATTGCTCAACGTGTTCATACTGTGTGCTAAACACCGTGCAGTGGGTGGAGGGATATCTATTAGATATAGAATAACCTAACTATATGAACCATAGTATACGAGAAATCTGATCTTGAATAACCTAACTATATGAATCATAGTATACGAGAAATCTGATCTTGTATGAGAGCGGAAGCGTAGCTGTATTGATTTTCAGCCAGAGTTGATGTTTTTGTTGTTGTGTTACCTCTTAACAGTAGATCGGTAGTCATGTTTCGCCTCACACCTGACTCAAATCCCTAGATGGTGTATTGGTATCTACTGAGCAGAGTATTGTAACGGAATGTGCTAACATCAATCATCCTGTATCCCATAATTCAGGATTATATTAGGCACAGAGTCTGGCTGACTAACAACTTCTAATTATTCTGTCTAATCAGATCACTTAATAAGTCTAATCAACACCACTTAACTAAGGCCCTAATATATAATATATATTATTAGAAAAAATCTTACAATATCATCTAGATTTACATCAGATTAATTCTAAATTCGAACCAGAAAAAGGGATTTGTACATATTGTTTACGTCAGATTAATCTTAATCCGAATCTAAACTAATCTTAACTCGATGAAGTAAATCGCGAGTCGTCCAAACAACTTCGTATGTAGTACTCGCGTACATATTGTTTACGTCAGATTAATCTTAATTCGAACCTAAACTAATTTTAACTCGATGAAGTAAATCGCGAGTCGTCCAAACAACTTCGTATGTAGTACTCGCGAGTGGTCCAAACAACTTCGGAGCCCAGTCAGTGCATCTATAAACCTTAATTGTATCTTAATGAAATGTAATAGCCTGTATGTAGTTTCTGGTCAGGTCTACAAATTAAAGTATATGTAATGCCTGTAGCATTCATACTACTCGCTCTCACACTGCTAGCTACTCTAATCCTTAAATCCTTTAATTTCATTTTTATGGGTTTTGTTAATAAATCTGTTAAATTATTTTCACTGCATAAAGTGTAATTGGGACATTCTAGCTAAATTATTGGTCAACTTAAATTGGTTAATTAAGTTGTAGGCAGTTATGAACAATGGTAATGGTGTAGGTTTCTCTATTTGTTTAAAGTGGTGCAGGTTTCTTTATTACTTTAAAAAGTGCAATTTGGGTTGGAGAAACAAGATTAAGTGTTTGATAAATAATGTTAGTTGATTGGGTTAGCTGGTTTAACTAGTTGATAGTATTTTTGTGGCTTTAACTAGTTATTTTTGTAAAAAAATATTTACTAAATTAGTTGTTAGTTGATAGTTGTTTGCTTTGAACATGATACTGTATATACCGGCGTATGTGTACCGTATGGAGTAGGGGCTATTTGAGCTCGGGATTTCTACGACAGTGGGACAAGAGTTTCCGGTCAAATAGTACCGGTGTGAAATGGGTCAAAGTTCTCCTTTCAGTAATAAATACATTATTTAAAGGAGAGAGAACGGGACGGGATCTGAGCCCTCGACATGGCTGGCATATTGTGGACATGCAGGGGTCCAGATTGGGGCCTATAGAGCAATTAACACACAATGTTACAGTCCTGATAAGATCACATCACATTAAAAGGCAGGGCGCTCGGTCCCGACACGAGACTCGGGGCAACTTATAGACTATCCAGTCTGTGCGTCTACAGAGGGAGAACGGTCGAGAAATTAGAAGGGTCGGTTAGGTCTAGTTGGAACGAGGTCAGCAAGGCTTCAAGCCTCGTTACCGTCTGTATGACCAGTTGCTAAGCGTACAGCCTGACAATATCCTTCATTTGTTTAAAATTTTAGTATATTGGAGCAATAAATTATTACAAAAAAATAATTAATAAAATACTTACCATTTAACTAAGTCAAATAAATAATAATGATCAAATCAAATAAGTTAAAATTGATTGATAAATTAATTATGTTACGAGGACCTAAAAGTTGAATTCTCTCCAAAGTTAGAATTTAAGATTATCATAAAGTTGGAAGTTGTAACCTTTGACTTCACCCTCAACCACCAACCCTAAAATTCAAGCAAGATGTAAATGCGTACTTGAAACATGATATCAGAAAGTGGAAGCAGACCACACAACGTTTGAACAATTGTCATAGAACTTGATATCCATCCAACAACTACAACATTCTACCTCATTTGAAATGCACGGAGGAGGATACCAATGATATATCAATTCAAAATTGAGTCCAAAACAACAAGTTAAAATGGTCCATTTTGGTTTACAGGAATATAATGTCGAAACGATTGATTATTCTGACATCAAAACATTCTCGGTATCTAATCTACAATGTCCATTCACCCTCTCACTAAAAGCGGGATAACTAATACCATCATCGTCTTGGGCATTTTACGCTCGAGAGTAGTATATAGACCTCATCTTGTGGTAAGTAAAACTCAATGGTGCACAGTTGCCCAACCACAACCCCCATCGTATGCACTGCAGAATCTTTAGTCGCATTTAATGTTCTTGTAAATCCTCCGCACAAACAAATTAGATCCCAGGTACCCAACCGCACCTGCAAGTTTTCACACACAAACCAAAAACCGTTTGTCAAGACTACCCAACTCGACAACTAACTAAGAGACACAAAATAGGGAAAAGGAGAAATATAATATGAGTAACTTACCACAGAGTATCCCCAAACCGAGGCAGAACATCAAAGTGTATCCAAAATAAAAGCTGGTTTGGAAGAAGCCCGACATCTTGGTCTTTACGTGGTAGTAATATATAGAATAGAGGTACACATAAAGAGCAGTGGATGCAGCAGAGAAGAACGAAGTCCATTGCCAATGGTAATTCTCGGCATTAAGCAAGAAATATGTGCCCACGATTGTCACACACACCGTGACAATTATCAGAATAATAAAAACCAGAAGCATGAACCCATACACATAATAAACCTGTTGAAAACAAAGATCAAGTAATGAATCAGCTAATTAAAGGACACGGTGATTATATATAGTCAACAAATTAATTGACAGCAGTGATTATTTAGTTCAGATAAATATATATATATATATATATATATATATATATATGCAGCAAGAACTGCAATGAGCAAAATTACCTTGTAATTCCAGAAGGAAGTGAACACGAAATACATCTCAATGAAAATGCTTCCAAAGGGAAGGAGACCTCCCATGAGAGAAATAATAGATGGTGTTAGATACCATTTCTTTTCAGGGATAGGACGGGGGATGGTCTTCACACGGCAAGGGTTGTTTGGAGTGCCACTCCAATTTCTTCCAACAACAGTACCAAGAAGCGCCAGGGGAAACGAAATAAATGCCCAAATGACAAAAACAACCACGATTGTACCAAAGGGAATAGCAGCTAAGGATCCATAAAATATGGCAACTGTGTTCAAAATGAACCCGATGCCAAAGCACATGAAAGGAAAAAGTGATGCTGTAAGAACCATTGACTTTATCCACGTTTTACCTGATCCATCAAAGCAAGCAGCGAAAACAATTTAATCTTTGTAATACAGAAACTAGTAATAACAGCAAAAGAACAGAAAGCCTACATACCACCATTACGCGAATACATTCCTCCACTCACATAACCCGAAATGAATGATGTAAGTGCATAACACACAATAAAGGTAGTGATAATTGCACCCCTCCTGAGTCACATAACAATATAAAAGTATGAGACATAAAATCACAAGTACTATAACCACAAAGATTAATAATGTAACAGATGTAACACTACTAACAAAATATATGTAATACTACAACGAGATTGACATAACAGTAGTGACAAACTCAGAATATTTTCGCACAAATGATGAAAGGAAACATCCTTAAAGATCAGCAGTAAAAGATGAAATGTCCATCAACTTGTTTTCAAGCTTCAAAGTAGGACTCAAGGTTATTAAGGCGGACTTTCTAGGCGAGATGCCACCAACTGCCTAGTCGACTAGTCGACTAGGCGACCGCCTAGGCGATGACTAGGCGATGAGTATTAAATAAATAAAATATATAAAATATATACATATATATTGAAAATATCTTGTCTTGGGCAGCCTATTTGCTTCAAGTTGCCTTTAGTAGATGAATAGTTTTTCCTAGAATAATGAGAAGTTTAGTATTTATTGTATATATTGGAAATATCTTGTCTTGGGAAGCCTTTTTGAACCCTATTTACTTCAAGTCATCTTTGAGAAGATGAATAGTTTTTCCTAGAGTAGTGAGAAGTTAGTATTTATTGATAACATGTCAGGGTGAGGTAGTGGGCTTTGCTCAGAACAGGAGGACGACGCCGGAGCTCGAAACGCGCCGCCATCGGAGCCTCCACGCGCCGCCGCCGTGCCGCTGCTCCGACACCACGCGCCGGCGCGTGAGGCAGATTCCGGCGTCTTCTCCGGCTGAAAATTACACCGGTCAACTCGCCTTAGTGTGTAGGTTCTGCCCATGTATGTTTTGTGGGGTTTTGGGTTGTATTTTGCACTTAGGCGAGGCGAGCGGTCTAGGCGCAAGGCTGTGACCGCCCAGACGCCTAGGCGACGCCTAGATAACCCTGGTAGGACTATTAGCTTTGAGATGTGGACATTTAAAAGAAAATGAAGGGATAAGAAATCCAAATAGTAAACATAAAGGAAAGCAACTATGAGTAGGAAATAAGTTTCACACAAAATATGCTATTACTTGTACAGCTCATGATGACGTACCCAATGTACAGCATTCCAACAATTGCCAATATAATGACAAGTAGAACGAGTGTTGCAAGCTGAGCACCGGTGCCAACAACAGCTGAAAGTAGAGCCAAGTTCTGTGGAGGTCGAAAAACATCACCATGGACAAGTTTCCAACCAGACTCTTCATTTACATCCCTTTCCTGTGCATTAGAAGCGCTAATAAGCATACTCTACGTGCTACTCAATAAGGAAATGCAACTATATAATCCTGCCAATATGGAACATGAAAATAAGTTACTGATTAGAGAAAGTGTTACCAGAGTCTCCAAATCATCATCCTCACGAGCATACTTGGCATAATCATTACGGAGAGTTCGCATTAAAATCATTGACACCAAGCCAGTGAGAAAGATAACCATCATGAATGAATTGAATACAGAGAACCAGTGGATCTGTAAAAGAAAGCTGGTTTAAAACACTAATTTGGAACAGAATAAATAATTTGCAAACTATTTGTTAAAATTCTATTCAAGAACATCTCAGCTGAAACATTCTAGAAGATAAGATCGCTGCCATAAAGAAAGCAAAAGCAGCAGCAACATTTTAAACCAGAATTGAATCCACAACATAATATGAAGTATCATCTAAGTAATGTATTAAAGTGTAGATATTTCCATAATACTTGTGCAACAATGAACTATTAAAAGTCAACAATGAAATTATTCCATGGGAATTTTTTCTTGTTGCACAGGTAATACATGGTCACACTATATATACATACATTACTATTCTATCTCTTTTCCTTTGTTGCGTCAATTTTACTTACTTGAACCATTACCAATTTTAACATTTTGTTAGCAAAAATCCTTCAATTATTCAATGTTAAACTAAAGACCTGAAATTAAGTTGCACTTATTCATTTGGAAATTAAGAGTGCTTTAAATTTCTATCCTTCATAGGTAAAGTGTTGGGAAATACAGCAGGGCAAATATACTCCATAACAATGTTGTCAGTAACAGCTGCAAAGTTTTTTGTGTTTCTGTGGAAATAGGGAAATTAACAGGCACGAGAGTGATTGAATAAATTTA